TAAAGTCATTTAAAGCAATAAAAATAATTTAAATTGAGAAGTGAAAATCATAGTTCCATTTAAAAAATGTGATAAGAGTAGATAGTAAGTTTCACTGAGATAGTATAAAACTACTATCTAATGTTAAAACAGTGTAATAAGATTAGTTGAATTAATAATAAAATTATTAAATATTCTGATTCTGATCTCAGACACGGTCATACAATCAGTCTAATCTTCAGTTTTAAATTGACTTTGAACTTCTTCTTTTCTTCAGTTCTTTTGAATTCTTGAAGCAAATATGCATTCTTTTGAACTAAATACATGCTTTTCTTTGCAGTTAGAGCATTTAAGCAGAGTATGTTAATATATTTCATCTCTTTTTGAGCATATTTTTCATTTATGCTCACTAGTTTTGTAATCTTTATCACAGAAACTGTATTTTGTATCTCTGAAATAAAGAAAATTGTAAAGTGTCTATATCTTTGACAGTTTGAACACTGTATTTGTGTTTTGAGATTCATTCTTGAGTCTTTGAATTCATGAACTCTTATTTTCAAATCTGCTACTCTCATTTCAGAGATTTTTGATTGTTCAAGTGTCTTTATATAAACTAGAACAGAGACATTTCTTCTAATTTATCTAAATTCAATTGAATTCAGTCATACAGGCTTCTTTCTCAGTTGAATAGAATTGTATTCTTTCAACTCATTTTTGAGAAGTAGCATTTCTTTCTCACAGTCAAAAATTTTAACTGAAATATTATAAAGAATGAATTTGTCTTACTTTTCATCTCTCTCAGATAGAATTGTTGTATTTAACAGAGATTCTAATGCTGATTTCCAGATATTCTCATTTTTGATAAGAAATTCCACACTGAATTCAGACATTGTAGTTAGAATGATAAAGTTTTTAAAGAAAGATAACTCAATTGAAGCTATAACTGATTTTTGAACTTCAATATCACATATTAACTGAGAAAAGAACTGCTGATTAACTTCATTTCTAATTTTAAAAGTGAGATTTGAGTTCAGCTTGTTCTTCTACAGAATTTCTTTATTTAAGACTTTGAGAATAAGTCTTCTATTTCTGAAGATTTGAACATTTTTCTCTTTTTACATTTTGTTCTCTTCTTTCTTATAAAGAGAAGTATGAGTATTTTTTCTCTGAATATTTTCAGAGTTTTAAGCAGGTTTTGAGACAGTAGATTTAGAAACAGCAGATTCTGCTGTTTAAGCATATGTTTTTTTCTAATTTGAGAAAGAAAAAGTTGAAGAGAAGTCAGTAATTGTACTAGAAGTTTTCAATGTTTTTTGAACTGTATTTGAAATTCCAAGCTTGAACTTAATCACTTTCTGTAGTTGTCTAGTCTGAGAATGAAGAATTAACAGAACTTCTTTATTCATCTCAATCAGACACTGTTTTTCAAGAATTTTACTGACTTTTTCAAGCTCTTGTATTTCAAGAACATGTTGTTTCTCTATTTCTGCTTTCTTTCTTCTTCTCAGAATTTCAATCTTAGAAATAGCATCTGAGAAAGTATCTTTTCTCACATTAACTGAGTGTATTTTTGAACTCATTTTTCTCACTCAATGAAAAGTTAATCAGACTGTTTCAATTGAGAGATTTATCAGTCTATTTTCAATTGAAAAGTTAGTCAGACTATTTCAAAAGAAGAAAGACTTCTGTGTATAAAACACCTGATTTTTTTCACATCAGTTCAGTAACTAAGTTAAATTTTTGAAGAGAATCTAATAAACTAAAATTGATTTTTAAGATAAATTAATAAAATCTTTACAATTTCTTTCTTAAAATACAGTGAGGAAAAGTATGATATCAAATGATAATAAATCAGATAATATGACAGTTATTGAGATTAAAACTGATAAAAAATAAGTCAATTTTTTGCAGAGAAATTGATTAAAACTATTCAATTTTATTCTAAATCACTCAATTCTTCTCACATAATAAGTGTGCAACTTGAATCAGTTAGTAAAGAGTATAAAAAAGAATTAAGTATTAATGAGAGCTCTTCAGTCACTGAAAAAGTAATTCTTACTTAAAAGAATGTGAAATTATAATAGAAAATAACTCTGTTTTTAATTCTTTGTAAGAATATTGTGTAAAACTCAGAGAAAAACATCTTACTTTTTTAAGAGAAGTAAAAAACTAATTTTAAGATCTTTTTTATTTGTATTAACTACTGTAGAAGAATGAGATAGAACCTGCTAAAATATACACTACTATATATTCTCTATCAAGACTTTCTCTCTTTAGAGTCTTGATATTATAGAGAATATAAGTCTATTTTTATATAATAATATAAATATTGTCAGTGAGATATAGAGGAACTAATTATTTATATCTTAAAATAGAAGACTTTATCAATGATTATATTAATATAGAGTTAATTCTCAAATTTAATAGAAATCTAGTATTGCTGTTCTCAATATTATTATTATTATTATTATTATTCTTTTATTATACTCATATACAAGCAGAGCTTATGATGAGTTCTTACATGATGTTAAATACAGATTAAGTGTTAATTATACAGAAGAAAATACAGGTGTTGAGACTACATTAAGATAACAAGAACATAGGAAAATATAAAGAAGTGATAATTAGATACATACAATAATAACTTCTCAGCTCAGAAACATAGAGCAATTCATTGAAGTGATTTATACACCTCTGTATTTATTTACAAAGCGAAGCGAAGTAAATATATGATGAAAACCCTGGTCATTAAAAGTGAAGAATTTCCTTTTTAAGATTCTTAGAATGAATACAGCTCACTGATTCATGTAGAATTAAGTGAAGCACAATTCTGTGACATTGCACTACTATATCATCTACTATTAAGAGTCTCAGAGATTGATCAGCTCTTCTACCAGCAGTACTGATAATAACTGAGCTCTTTTATCTCAGTAGTCTACATCTACTCTGTACAGATTCTTGAATAATAGATTATACATCTTATTAACTATCTACTCTGTACAGATTCTTGAATAGATAATATATCTGATTAATAATCTACTCTGTACAAATTCTTGAATAGATAATACATCTAATCAATCATCTCTTACAGATTCTTAAGAATGAATAATGTATTAAAAGTCTGTGATCACTGCTTATAAAATCAGTCTCTTAATTAATTTATTTCTTTACAGTATTCTATTACTTCTACAGCTGTCTGTCTTCAATATTACACTCAGAGAACTCAGATATTGTAATCTTCTCTCATTATATCTTTTCTATTACTGATTATCTCTTTACACTGTGTAGAACTGTAAATAAACATGTACAGTGAAATCAGATTCTTCTACAGTTATAGATTCTGTGATAAATGAGTCTAAAGTCTCTCTGTTATTTTAGATATATTAATACTTTATATAATTAACAGTAGTCTCTTAAGTCTGTGAACAGTCTATTGAAATAGATATATTATCTGAGATAAAGTTTTATCACTGTAAGATTCATAGTTCTGATATATCTTTATTAACAGCAGTCTGTAAAAAGAAAACTGTTATTCAAAGAGCTCACTATATTATTAAATATTATAAAGAACATCTTGTATTAACTTTATTTTTAACTTAATTAAGAAAACAGCTGCAGTTATTATTTTTAATAATTAATTCATCTCTTAGTTTTACAGATCTCTCTTCAGTCTTTTATTAATTATCTGTATTATTATTCAACTTATTCTTAAGTCAATCTTATTTCACTTTACAGATATACTTTTACTATAGTTACAGTTCTATCTTTTCTATTAATAAGCTGTAAAATCAATCTTACAGAGTCTTCTATTTTAAGCTTAGCTCTGTAATATCTTTATACACAGAGACTCATGTGTATTAAGATATTTTTAGAAACCTGAGATGCTTGAGTTTCAGATTTAATGTATTTCCTGCGGGTTTCGAACTCACACACCTTGGTTTCTCACATCAAGGTGCTACTGAGTGACTGCATTAATTATTCAGTCACTGAGACTATTGCTGTTCTCAATCTCTTACAGAATCTATTAAATATTGAGATATTAAAACTAGATTTAATATATCTCACTATGCAGAGATCAAAGGCTCAGTCAGATCTTAAGATATACTGATTTTATAGTTATCATATCTGCTGATTATGTATCTAATACTTTTGACAAGGTATTGTTTTGTATCTTTCTGCCGGAGATAGACCAGGTTGAATGAGATGATACACAAGTGAGACTTGACAATGATGTCTTGATACATCAATGATATAAAGGTTCTTCACTGACTCTCACTCACATGACTCATACATAGTTATATTAGTTGCTGCTAGTACTAGAATAATCAACAAAGTTCAATCTCTTCTACATTATTCTTACACAGAGTGTTAATAAGTTTTAATAAAAATTCTTTCTTATCAAAGTTATAAAGATTCACAGATTTAATATTATATTAAGTGATTTTTATCTGTAGCTATAAATTAACATTAATTAGCAAGAAGTAAAAAATCAGTAGAAAAAAGAAATCAAGTCTAAGATTAAAATAATACTTGAAGTATGTGAAATTATCTGCAATTTTGTGTTTTTGATCAATATTTTGAAAATAGAGAGTGACTTGATTATATTCTTGTGACATTGATACAATTATAACACTCAGTTGATTTCAATAGATGCTTTTAGAATCTCAACAACAAGATTATGAAGGATTTGAGATGTACAAGAGAAACCACAATCTGCCAATTGATTGCTATGAAAAAGAAGCCATTCTTCTTGTGAATCTGTGAGATTTTTGCAGTGGGTAGAGCTTGCTTTCTTTCTTGATATTTGAACACCTCTATAACACTGTGATAATGTATATTGACTGATTCCATATATTCTTTAGCAGTCTCAGTGTAATTAGGGATCAATTGCTGCTTGTATAACTGCTTCATGGTGCATGTTGTGGGTGTTTGAAGATGGATGCAAAAATGAAGATTGGGCGGGCGTTGGGTGGTTGATCACGTTAACAAGTAACGGTGACAAGAGAAACGAAATACCAAACCCGGTGTTGATCCCATTATGTCATTTTAAGAAATCGAGGTTATACAGGGGGTGGGAAACTGGAGGCTCCTATCAAGCGTGTTTAATACTTTGGAATCTCACGTTTGGTACATACAGCAGAGGGTTTGTTTGTATGGTGGGAATTGGTAAATTATATTTATATATAGTCTCTAGAGAAAAAATGAGTAATGTGAGCTGAAACATGTAGTTATGTACTGTGATATAGACATGTGTGAGAATCATGCTGGAGGGGCTGCATCATGTTATATGATAGCAGAGAAGACCAAAAAAGGGAAGACGAAAGAGATTAATGAATTAATGAAAAAGAAAAAGAAGGCGCCAGTGTTTCCAATGCATATGAAGCTGCCGTTGTTAATAAACCGGGGCGTTCGTCCAAGAGGAAAGAAAATAAAAAGAAAATAAATTAATTAAGTCCGACACGATACATAGTGATAGTGATAGGAGAGTAGGAAATGTGGTTGACTTAATGATAGCTCATACGAAGGAAAATTCCTAATAGTAGACAGGATGTTGCTGTGGGGATAGTGTGATGGAACAGGCAGGGAGTGAAACAGCGTGTATATAAGATGAAGCTTTATAGAATTATGAAATGAGACGACATATCTGAAGAAATAATAAGACGGAGAGAAATGAACATATTGGGTATCAAACGCAGGTATAAAATGGTAAAAACAGGAAAAGTAAAGGGAAGAAAAGAAATTAGAAAGACGCATATCAAACGATCGAAGATGATACCATAGCCACTGGAATCAAGGATACTCAAGCAAGCTCTCCTGTAGTGACTCCTCGTCAATTGCCTTGGGTTGTACTGCCGTAGGTGCCTTTGCTGGTGGGCGGAGCCCCGGGATAGGACCTTTTTGGTTCACCCCGGCTGGTCTGCCAAGTGTTGTTGAGGCCGGTGTTGAAGAGGAGACAGATGAGGCGTATACAGATGACGCAGGAGAGATGGGTGGAGGCGCTGGTGGCCGAGCCGAGGATGCCAACGACGAACGGCGTGAGGATATGGGTGAACGCGAGTCCCTCGCTGATGCTATCGGTGTCATACCCCATCTGCCAAGAACCCAGCCGCCGACCCGCTTACTGAAACTGGCTGTCTGACGAGATGCGAGGACATCGTCCGGATGGTGAAGAGGAGATGAGTTGCTGGGTAGGGAGCCTGGTGGCGTTTGGGTTGGGGTTGCGTTCGGGTCCGCTGCAGATGCAGCGGCGACTGAGGAGAGCAGGGAGCGTGAGTCGGAGCCTTTACCCCCATTGCTAAGGGACACAGTAGGGACTATGACGTTCGTTCGTGAGATTACGGGCGGCGTGAAGGAAACTTCCGTGCCGGCGGATGTTATACGGCTGGGTGTTCTAATAGGGAATGCTAAATAGTGACTAAGAATTTGGGATGGGTAGGAGCGAAGCGTATGGATATCCATTCCAGAAATGGAGAGGAGACTGTCATGAGAGGACGCGCGTTTCACTTTGTGATATTGTAGCTGCGAGGAGAGTTCAGGTTCAGGTTCATGCGCAAGCTCAGATTTGTGAGGACAAATTGAAGGTTGAGGTTGTATTGGTTCTTCATTGATCGTTTCCTGAGTTGGTGAGTTTTCTGCCTCTTCCATGATGGGAGGTTCGCAATAAGGTATATTCTCATCAGTGAAAAATTTACCGCTTTGTTCTTCGATTTTATCACCTGGAAGAGCTATAGACGTATCCTGCAACTTAACCGGGCCAGATATAGATCGAAAGGGGATATCAAAGGATTCTTTGCGATGACGGTATGGCCTAACACTTGGAGACGCAAAACCAATACTCTCTGGGCTAGTAGGGCGAGAAGACTCAAAGCCATGGTCCACGCGATCGAAAATTGACGAGGTTCTATATGTAGATTGTGGAGAATTAGGCATTGACGACGATAGCGACCCCGCTGCTGCGGAACCGGAGGCTTGAGACGACCAACTGCGGCCATTCGAGGGCGGAGGGATAGAGACTGAAGTTTGGGAGAGTATGGTTGATGTTGACGAAGTAGAACCATGTGGACGGTGTGGTGTTTGTGACATGCGTGAGGAAATGCGAGGCGACTCGAGAAGCGGAGAGGAGATCATAGGCCTCTTTCTCCTCTGGCGACGGTGTATCGGGATTTGTACCCTTTCCTTTCGCTGGGAGACAGCTGGGGTAGGCGAGTGGTAGTGATGATGGACGTGAAACTCCTGGGATGCCACTGGCGGGAATTTCGCATCCAGTTCGTCACTAAGCGGAAGTGCCTTCTGTCGGGGCTGTCGTTCATTCCGCTCCGGAGTCAGTGGTTGATGGAGAAGAACCTGTTCCCGCAGGTTCTGCACCTCCTCATTTGAGTTCTGAAGCATTTCCCTGAGCTCAACGATGCCCATTTGCAGGTTCGCATTATCTTGCAAGATGTCGCGCACGAAGTTGCTAACCACTCCCGGCTTATTCTGGCCAAGTGACGAGGCAGCAGCAGCACCTTTGAGTCGACCCGCAGCGCTATCCAATTCTCGTTCAACAGCCCTCCTCCTCTCCATCCGCGCAAGTAGCTCCACATTCCTTTCCCGTTCCTCTCTCGACTCCTTTTCTATCCTCTCGAGCTGGTCTTGAAGGTCTCGCAAAGTGAATTCGGCTTGTCTCCATCGTTGGATAGCTGATTTCTCATCTTCTTTGGTGACGATAAGTTTTGCCTGTAACTCCTCTTGTTCCTTCTCCATCGCAACAATCTGCCATTCGAGTTGGGCTACGCGCGACGCTGAGATCGACAATTGTTTAACATGCAGCTGTGTACTCTCGAGGGAGTCCGTGAGTGACTTGATCTGCGCATCCGATTCTACGATCAACTTGTTCATTTCCTCCAGTTGTTCCAAGAGCTCGCGGTTTTCTTCGATGATCCGCGCATTTTCGGCTTGCGCCTGGCGCTTGTCCCGCTCGAGATGTTCCATTTCTAATAGTAACCTGCTTCGATCTCCTTCTGCATCTGTCATGTAAGATTCATGGCGCTGCAATAATGCCTAGACCCGCCAGGCAAAGGGAGCAATAGAAAATGTCAGCAAGTACCCACGAACAACAAAGTGACAGCAAAGTCAAATAAATATAAGAAATGAAGAAATGAAGAGATGAAAAAGAAATGGAAATGGAATAAAATACCCACCTGGCCTAGCTGGGCGGCAGTTTCGACGTCTTTTTCCAGATCCGCCAGCGCAGCAATGTTATGTTGGAGATAGGCACATTGTGAACTCCCACAACAGCATTTCAGCGCTGTCGAATGATGGAGACGCGGGGTGGCTCTTAGCGGACCTGCGTCATGCAGTGAAGGGAATATGTGGTCCATTAAGAGAGGCTATATGGGCAGTCTAACCACGAAGACCATTTTTCGGCGCCCCGTATAGCGCTGTCCATGTATAGCACCAGCTCTGCACCACGACAAGGAGCCGGCCCGAAAGCGAATGAATAGAATGTTTAGCTTTGAACTGATGAAGGAGAGAGATCGTGTTTCATTAATGAGTGTGTTGGAACAGCGGTAGTGGGCAACAGAGAGAGTTTCTGCCCGGCTATTCTTAGAAAAAAAAGAACACGGTCGGTGGAAGGTTGGGTGGGGGAAGCAAAAGTTCCCATGACGCCAAAGCAGGGCTCATATAACTATTTATGCTAAAAACCCAGAGATGCGCCTTTGATTTGCCCAGCCACAGCCATTCTGATCACGACTCATGGCTTCGTAGGTTCGGCTTAATTGGTTTTTACCTAGCTCATATGGGAATAAGCAAACAATGGTTCCCAAAACACATTGCCTTTGTTCATTAAAATGTCTTATTGTTCGATCCATCTGCGCAAACTCACTCGATTCCTGCCATATCTACGCGACAGTTGTTCCCCTTCCTATGGTACAGTACCCAACTACGAAACCTTTGTTTGCTAGTATACAATGCCCCGCGCGAGGGGTACTTTACTTGGGAGCAAAGAATAGAGTTGGCACACCTAGCTCTTTATCCTCAGCTACCCTGGTGTCTCCCTTGCCCCCAGCATTTACAGCACACTATCGTGATCTTAAGAAGGAATAGCAGACGGCGCATCTTCTTTACAGATCCATCCCCGGACCTGCAGTTGGACTAGGAAGAGTCGCGGGCGGTAAGAAAACCCGGGATGTGCTGTCCGGCCACGGAGACCCTTTTTGCGTGTAGAGTCACAAGTTTCCACTTTGAGATCCAGAATATCTGATAAATAGATCGTATGTATGAGTGAAGACAGTTGGTTCTGGGTATATAACGCATATAGTGCAAGTTTATTTTAGTAACAGACCCCTTTGATTCCTCCCAAAACCGGATTCTATCGTTTGTATATATATCGTACAATGGACGCCGTGTACCGACCTTTCGTTGCGTGATCGCAATGGTTCAGGCTGGAGACTTTCTCTCTGCCAGTGCTATCTCCAAGCATAGGAGGGAAATTGCACTCCTCATGCGTTTATCCTTTCCGACCACTTTGGCGCCTTTGTTCCGTCAGAGACAATGGTTTCTTGCTTGCAGAACGAAATCGAATGGAATCGAATGCGTCCGTGGGTTTGCCTTTCCGTCTTAATAGCTGCTCCGGCGGCGAGGCGGGCAGGAGAATTGGATGATATCAACCGGCTATGTTGCGCTTTGACTGGCACCTACCCCGGCACCACTGTCTATATTCTCCCCATTTCCGCCATCCGACACCGTTTGGAGTTTTCTGTACTCAGCCTCCAGCGCCCGCTGCATCTCAAAGTCCGCTTGTCGCTCTCGCTTGATCCGCTGGTTTTCAAGATCTCGTTGCACACCGGCATGCATGGCCTAGAGGTTATTCGTAACAAATCAGCATTCAGCCGTAAACGAACGGGACGTAAATGTAGCTCAATCGACTAAAACATACAGCCTTGTCAGCTTCCTGCGTCCAGTGGACAAAATAGACGATGCCGACAGTCATCAGCGACGTGCCGGCCAAGGTAAGTTTGGAAGCCCGCGACATGGTTTCCTCCTATGTGTTTTCCTGTGTGATACGATTGAGATAGCTTCTGGCTTTTCTAGGAAAACGGTCTCCTTCAGATCCTTCTCGAAAAATTGAGGTCTTTATTTAGCAGTTGCGAGGTAATTCCCAAAGACAACTGTCGAACGGTTTCCCGGTGGATTTGTCCCGGAAGCGGTGTCAAGCGGCAGAAGCGGCGAGGTGACCTTGCTCCAACCTCAAGCCCGCATCAACGTCGAGCTGCCACGCGCGGAGCTCAGGACAAGGACAGCGTCCAACAACACCACGACTACATGCCAACGCCGATCTCAGCGGATTGTACTTGAGAAGAGATCGAAATTATGGTGCGCTTCTTATTCCTTCATGTAACCCCTTTCAGGCATCATTCATCTTGCTAACTATTGCTGTCCCTTCTAGTCTGCCCAGAACTCCGCAGGCATCCAGACCCTGCTTGATGTATGTCCGCCTTCAAGCTATCTCTAACTGCACTTCTCCCCGTTCACACCCACGGCCTACTCAAATAGAGAATGTGGAGAATTAACAAACATTTTGTGGGCAAATAGGCCGAGAGAGAGGCGCAGAAAATCGTACAGAATGGTAAGAGCTTCCAAACGAGTGGATTCATCTTGCCAATACCCTACCTAACCTGCCGTCCCCCCGTTCTTGAAGAAACAGATTTCGCTAACTCATTCTATTTCATTATTCTAGCCAGAGAATGTGCGTAACAAATTTCCTCTTGCAATTACATCATACGACACTTATCAAATGTCGCTTCTCCAAGCCCCTTGACTCTAACTTGATTCCCATGTTTGTGTAGACCGCACGAAGCGCGTAAAGGACGCCCGAGCTGAAGCACAGAAGGAAATCGAAGAATACCGACAGAAAAAAGAAGAAGAATTCAAGAAGTTTGAGGCTGAGGTGAGGAGATATCATACTTTCCTTCAATTACCCCACTGGAGATTCGTATTCTCCCTTGTATTCCCATTCCAAAGAAACATACACACACACACATATATATATATATTACATAGATATAAGAAAAGTGATTAGACGGCTAACTGACACCCGCCCTCCCTATTTTATTTATCTCATTTAGCACTCGAGCGGGAACAAGGTAGCCGAAGAGGAAGCCAACAAAGAAGCCGAAGCCAAAGTCCAGGAGATCAAGGACATCGGTCAGAAGAAGGGCGGCCAAGTCATCGAGGATCTCATCCATGCTGTGACCGAAGTTCAGCCGCAACTACCGAAGAAACTCGCGAAGAATGCCTGAGTTTATTTATTGAATAATGAGCGAATTCCGACCGGGGGGGTTTTGAATGTGTGCGGCAGCGTGAAAGCTACTAATGGGATCAGGGTGTAATGATTTTTTTTTATTGTTCATTTTTCGTCATGTTTATACTGCTTTTTGCTTTCTCTTTTGGAATTTTTTTTTCTTTGTTTTCTTTTTCTTTTTCTTTTTCTATTTCTTTTTCTTTCTTTTTTTTTTTCATTTCTTCCTTTTTAAATACTCCTCGAGAGGCATAACTACACTTCTTTTTCTCAGATCCACTCCAGGAATATTCCAGGCACAGGCCCTATCTACGAGGTCTACTTACATAACGAGGTCGGATGGCTTAGCGAGGTCGACTTTTCTGATTCCTACGTGTCAAACTCAGGGCTTGATTGCATCTCCTCTCTTTCTCGAGCACATTGCCCTTCCAATATATAGATAGCCCTTGATTATCTAGTAAAGAGTGAAGCTATCTTCCTCCCTCCCAGCGGCTCTCGGACAAAGGGTGTGTAGCCATAATTAGCTGTGTGCTGTCGGCGGATGAACAGCAGGCAGCGGGCTAAACCTATAGCATTATATATAGTGTACATACTGCATCTTGAAATGTTGTAACTGGCTTGAAAGCTGGTACGGTCAAAATCTAGACGGTCGGAAAATTTTTTGATCCGAGAGCCCCCTTACTCCGTAATGAACTGATTTTCGGCTCCGCGCCTAGTGCAATTGCACTCCCATCTAAAAAAATCTCGAATCTCCCCCACGGGTTCGCCTGTTGTAGTAATAGAAGGATATTGCGATTACTCATGCCCACATATGCATCCATTGACCACCGAGCTAGTTCCTCGCAGTAGCAGCACCACTTGACGGTTCGATTAGCCCAGGTCTCCCGGTTTTGTTGCCTTTCTATCCAGTTTCTTTCTTCAGTAACTCGAACGGCAACATATAGAGTGCAGATTCTGTTTTTGAGTCAATGTCAATAGCTTGGCTAAGACGGATCGCTGGGACTGTGCTTGTTTGGTTGAGGTTTGTCTCAGCATCATGATGCTTATTCACTTGGTTCGGTTCCTGTGATGGGTCAACAGATCTTTCCCTATGCAGTCTCCTTTCGTGTAAGCACTCTACAGAGTAGACACAATCCACATGCATGCATGTTCATATTGTTGGCATTTCTCCCCGCCGCTAACATCCTCCTTACATACATAGCAGTAGAGTCTCTGACGTTGGCGAACTTTTTTTGAAACCCATCCTTCTTTTTTGCCTTTCAGCCCGCATTTCGTTCAATAGAACGCAAGCTGTGGTTTGGTCATCATCTCGATCCTGAGATCTGTCGGTTCTTTTGTTGGGTTTTGTATTTTCTCGCATCACTTGGGTACTTGCTCTCTTCCGTAATTGCCGGTCCATATCTGAAAAGCGCTAGGCACACGATGAGAAGCACATTCTAGAAGACCATTACCTCTCAAACCAGAATCACTTTGCTTGCTGCCGTGGATGAAGCAACTGTTTGTGTACTAAACTGTACCTTCACCAGACCATGAAAGCGAAGAACATCATATTAGCTCTGGAGAAATTTGTGCTCGAGCCTTTAGCTTTAATATCCTTCATTCTAGAGTGGAAAGGTGCCAATTTGGTCCATTTTGACATGATCCATCGCGGAGCGATGTGATGTGGCTTATAGCTCTCGGGCAGTCACCCTCTGTGCGCCTCGAATGGGGGCGGGTATGCCATCCTCATTTCAACAAATGTTGGACGGCAGTTGTCCAGGGCCTGTACAAATAGTTACACTATCGTTGTTAATCTGCTGTGATCCCTTTGCATGAGGATATCACGGACTCAAGCTGGGTTTGTATATCGAACTGGCACTCCCAGGTGATTGACGCAAGTTTCCCGGCGCCCCGACGCAGTCTGGCCTGGTTTGCATACTCCAGGTCATTGGGCTTTGCTGTTGCAGCCACCATCCCACATGTACTGCAATAGCCTAGGTGAAGAGCACAACAGCAACCACACTAGAAGCATGTTAGAGCACTCCTGTGATTCCTGGATCACAACCTTGAGCTTGGTGTGCATGGACTGCCGAGATTCTGTGATTAATCACAACTATTGCAAAATCTTGGGCAGTAAAGTCAGGTGCTAGACACAACAAGACAAAACTGTAGTGGGAAGTTATTGTAGGATGGCTAAATCTCTTGTATTCGTGTGGGAGGAGCTAGCTACGTTATATTACATATCAGATCACGTGCAGGCGGACTGTACAGAAAAAAGATAATATGAGCTTGCTTCTTCAAATTACTTTCACACAGAAGTTTGACAACAATGACTGTCTGTATGATTGAATCAAGCTCTGGTTCTTTAGTCTCTTCACAGAATGATGCAAGATTTGCAGAGCACATCTGCAATCAAATTCAGTCTCTCATTTCACAACTACATCAGCAGAGAGAGTGTCCACCTGGCTTTATCAGTTCCCAACTCTGGAAACTGGTCGATGGCTCAAGACATTGTGCATAGAAAGCTTGCGCGTTAGCTGTAATCTCTTCCTTGCAGGATGAGGGCCTGCTTAAATCCCGGCCTCATTTCTGTCCTTTGGAGTGTATCACTCGAGAAATTGCCTCTTAATGGTTGTATGAAACTGGGGATTTCCCGCAATGTCTTATCCATCGATCCCTTGATTGGAAGATGGGAACCTGGATATTCAGTGTTCGGCGCGTCCTGGAACTGCGTGGCCCCTTAGCTTTAACACCCTCAACTCTTCCCAACTCTTCCCAATCTTTCAAATGATATGAATGGGGTGACCAGTTATATTCTTCTCCGGATTGAGGACTACTAACTAGTCAACCTTGAGTGTATCCCGGGGGCGGCTAATTGAAGTTCGCTTTCTTTAGGGAGTCTCCATGAATTTTACTATTCAATGAATGTTGAGGGCGCCAATTTCTCCCTTACTCTAAGCTCTTTCACCTCTCATCCTCACCGCCAACATTGTCACAGCATGGATATAAAAGGGTGCTCATTTCTTGCCAGAGATGAGCTTCTATAGATACAGAAACAATGCACTTGATACTCAGATTTCTAGTTTCTTAGACTTCAACTTTGCTCTTTTTCAGCAATCACTTTTGTGTCTTCTTTGTCTTTCAATTCTATCTTTCTTTTATCACTAACTACTAAGAGAGCTCTCTTTCACTCAACAACAATTCTCATTTTCTCAAAATGATCATGACAAATTATCTCTCTCTGTCTATCCTTGATGAACTTGTGTGATTCACTGAGAAGACAGCATTGTATGAAGATTCAATTAAGATGATAATGTCAGGCATTCTCAACTATTATTTTTCAGAAATAAATGATTTTACAGTTGTCTCAGAGCAAAATCAGCAGAGGAATATTACAGATTTTTATCATTCTTCAGTTTCAACAACAGTTCCTCAGTGACTGTGATATCATTAATCACACAGTAGCTGAAGCCAAAAGAGATACTGACTCTGTCACAGCTGTATTGAAGCAGCTTGAGAATGTTCTTGAACAAGTCAATACTGAATTTAGCAGGTGCTGAGTAATGCTTATTCATGGGTGCAACTTTCAATTTTTTGAATGTCACATTCACCTGTCTGTGAGTGAACAGCTTATCCCATGGGGTCCTCTGAATCAACTGTCTCAGAATTTGTTCCATTGTCAAAATGATAGTGTAACTATCGATTGGATGCTGCGTCATATGGGACATAACAACACTCCACCAGCACGCTAGTGACTGCTTGCACTGCCATGGAGATATCATGATGATGGTTATAAGAGGTTGGTTGGAATGCGTGAAGGGGTATTGGAGGCAGATGACTTTGTATTTGCTTGTTTGCTGGTAACTAATTATGCATATTCAAGAATACCTCATCTCAGCGGAATATCATGCATCATCCAATCCGTATGCTACAACTGGCAAATGCGCAATTAAAGCGGAGATACTGTTATTTTGTCTATCAGTATGACAGCAAAAAAGAGAAAAAAAGAGAAAAAAAGAGAAAAAAAAAGGAATTGTGTGACAAGGCAGCTTAGCAATGTCATGTTCAAACGCTCCTAGACGCATTATTTCGGGCTCTAAAAGGTTCATTGTTTCGCTAGAATTAGGAGGAGATTTGTTGGGGGGCTTAGCTACATATTTGTAAATTCTGTGTATACAATTTTGGGCATTGGTAATCAGCGATACAAATTATATAGGCTCTTCCTCTCTCTGTTGCGACTCTTGTAATGTACGTACCCGTCTCTTCCTTTCAAACATTTTGTTTTCTTTTACTCTTTCTTTGCTTCTTATCGTCCTCCTTTTTCCTAGACACGGCTTCTATGCTCGAACCTCCTCTTGCCCGCAGCTAGCTGGTTGGCTGTGGGTGAAACCACTGAAACCATGATGAAGCACGCCGAGGGGCGGCTGGCCAACAACTTAGTGTCGTCTCGGAGTTGTCGAAACACACCAAAGACACCCCCGACCGCCTGATCTACCGCCGTTCCCCAGGTTCACCCATGCCATGGCCCACGGCGAGTTGGCAACCGGGTCTTCTCGCCTATTCGGACTCTTTCCCTACTACGACCAGAACGACCAGAACGATCTCCTGCGGTCCTTTGCCTGGCCGTGACTTCTGGCAGCTGGGCCAGCTCGCCAACCAAGTTGACAGCCTTCCTTCTCTTGGCAGGAAGGTTACATGTCAATACATCCATGGATGATGATGCAGATATCCTTCTCTGCATGATCAGCGGAATGTTGCGCTAGAGTTTGATGTCTCGCGTCCCCCCTTTTCGCCCAAATCTCCTATAGGTTCGCTGTATCCCATCCCGTTCTGGCTCAGGAGGTCCGCTATCCTGAAGATCGATCGAGGCCGACGAGGGGTGACCTTTGATTTTTACTTTTTTTCTTTCTTTCTTTTTTTTTTTTTTTCTTTCCGTTCTTCCTTTGAACTACCATTCACACTCTCCGTCGCGTGTGAGGACAGCAAAACCTGCGACAAATCGTGTCCTGCTTTTCTTCTTTCCCCCTCATAATCCTTCCGATTACATTCGCGGAGCTGGGTGTTTTTTATTTTTATTATTATTCGTCTTTAATTTTTAATTGCTCTGAATACTTTGCAAGCTGGTTTGCTCTTTGGTACAACCAAATATTTTCTTTCACCCTGCGGCTTTTGTTGACATACAGTCAACAACCATTGTTCTGATCTCTGCTCGGCACGGTGGCCTGGCCCTGCCTTTATTTAATACATCGTACAGGAGTTTGAATACGGGGCTACGCTACTTTCCCGGTTGGGTTTCACCAGGAATCTCCAATTATCGTCCACAATGTTTTGATAGACTGACACGTTCTTCGGCTTGATCTGTCTGTCATAGTAATATTTCTTGCTGGACTGACTGTTAGCTGCCACTTGTTTTTTGCTTCCATCTTATTCCTGAATCTCAGCGCTGTGCCACCAATCTTCACAATTTAATAGTAAGAAGAAGGACCCCCTGGCAGCGCATGGATCGCGAGTTTTGTTTTGTTTACCATTCGGCTATTTGAAGACCTGGCCATCAGGACGGGGGAAGAAGCCGCGAGGAACGAGCCTGTGCGACGAAGTAAATCGCCGTTGTGGGGAAGAGAGATACAGTCTCTAATCTGGGGTTCTCCGGCCAGATATACTCTTCTTTGCCAGCTCTGTCCCTCATCCTTTTTCGAGCAAAAAGGGAATAAATATTTGATGCATTTGTGATTCTAAGCGTGAAGAACCCAGGAGAATTACTATGGAACGTTCGACTTCGTTGTCAAGAGAAGAGGAATCCCCAGGAACGGCGCGGCAGATCAATGGCTTCTTCCGTAATCAAGCTGGGTCCTTCTTCGGCAGGACGTCATGCATCGGTGCTCCAAATACGAGATCTACTTCTTCTTCTAAGATACGAGCACCACAGATAGGACTCTGTATGTTCTCTGGTGAAAGGACCGAACGTCTTCGACCATTGCAGAGTGATTACGCAGCTAGATATAGGAGACCCCCGCCGGTTGGTCCTTCAAGCATTGAATTAGCTGAAGCTGGGCTATCGGGACCGCACGTTCAAGTTCAAGGACGTGAGAATTCCTCACATCGCAGCCGGTTACAGACCAGCGCAGGAGTTACACTGGCCAATTCTGGAGCACAGGCAGACGAAAACATGCCGATGAGTCAAAACGGGAACGCTTCTGCGGCGGACCTAGGATGAGATCCAAGGAAGCGAGGAAGAAGGGTGTTGATTGCGCCTTGGCTGGATTTCTTCTGATGATCATTTTCGTAATATGTGAGTCCTTTCGGTTCTGTTTTTATATGTGGACTCGCAGAAACGCGATATATACCTTTTTATCAAACAAATATCCAAATTCACAGTCTTCCCCTAGATAAGTATACTTACGGTTACTAGATCTTGCATTATCCCTCTCTAATACCATCGACAAGCGCGAATTCCACATTGTGTTCATACTAGCTCTCATAATTCTCGTGATATATTTCTGCCACTCCTTTATCCGCTTCTTCATGCTGGCATGGCGGTCACCCCCGGCACATCCTCCTTCCGCTGCACCAAAAGCAGTCAGCACACGTGAATACGTCCAGCCCGATCAGCCAATACCTGTAATTCTAGCTCGAGATGAGGAGATCGTGGCGGAAGTGGATGCGGACAACCACATCGGCCGCAACGGCAACTTGAGTGGTCTGCCTCCACCACCCCCGGCTTATGGCCTCTGGAGGAATAGTGTGGTAAGTACTGTATATCACGTATATACGACTGTTTCGTTCGTTGATTGGATTCCATATCGGACTTGTGAACATGTTTTGACTAATGAACCAAATCTAATGTAGAGAATAAACCCGAACCTCGTCCACTGGCGGCGACGTGAGCCAACCGGTCCGCAACCAGGAAACACTGAAAGCGAGGGTCTCAATAACGGACCCCATCGGCCCCCGAGCTATATTTCGGACGATGGCGTTCATTACGTCGTTGACATACAGCCACAGTCGCGCCTGCGCGCTCCTGACGAATCAGACGTTCATCCTGCAGAGCGATTGGGACAGAAGCAGTAAAGATTGTATTGATTTATTTTATCCCTAGTGGGGTAAAAAGGAAATTTGTTGATATATTTTCCATTTCTCACAAGCCTCAATCGCTCGCTTGCGCTCGCTTATTCAGCTTGAAAAACGTGCCGTTTAATCCCTCAGGTTGAACATAATGAGATATCCATGAATATGAACAGCTGCATGTGACTTGTATAGATGAATTCCATGTAATCCACAACTGTTAATAGAGAACAACTACATAGAAAAAAGATGAATAACACTGTAGCAGTGTTGTAGAGTTAATGTAGAAGCTTCAAGTGAGATGTAATTAAATGTCAGACAGCTCATATAAAGATCTTAGAACTATAATATATATAGCCAGCAATTGAAACATGTCACAATTTACTTCAATTAATCATCAAATCATCTGGAATACAATTGAAGCAGTCAAAATGGCTGAATATAAGTAGAGAACTGAAAGAGAAATAGCTCAGAAATTATGAAATTACAGCTAATAATAGTGCAGAGTAAGCTCAGTAAGCTCAGAGAGCTCTAAAGACTCAGCAGCTCATCAATTCATCTACATCTATTTCTCAGCAGTCACATCAGCAGCTCATCAACACATGAACACCTGAACATAGACTACAGCTGCTGATAGAATAAATAGTCAAGAAAGACAGTGAGATTATTATACAGCTGTGTGAGATGAAGCTTAAGAGAGATATAGTGCTGTGTGAGAAGAAATTCAAGCCTCAGTTAAAAAGAATAACAAATGTAGAATCAGCACTTATTCACAGCTGTGATATCAAAGTCACTTCATCATGCAGCTCATGTGAGAAGAATTATAATCTATTTATTAAGTATATTATAATCTCTGATATGTTGAAGAGAGTCTGTATAAATTATCACTATAATTTACTGAGTAAATGCTGCAGCTTGTAATCTGATAAGTAATGAATTATCTCTATAGTATGTAAATTCATTAGTAAAATGTATATATAAAATGTATATACTGATATAGAAATAACAGAGAATCAGCAGTTCTTCATCTCTGTTAATATAGAGAAGAATAAGAAGAAGAAGAGAAAGAGAAAGAAACAGACTGTCAGTATGAAGCTGAGTCAGATAGCTTGACTGTTCAGTTCAGTTAAAAAGAAACAGATGATATTTATAACTCTGAAGAATGAAGAGAAGAATAATAAAGTGAGTAACAGTGAGATTACAAAGTTAAAGTTGTTATAGCTGTGAGTGAAGATGCATCAGCTCTGTAAGATGAAGAAAGAGATAAAACATTTGTATAGAGAGCAGAATGAGACTGTGAGTCTATTGTAGATAACTCAGCTCAGTCAATAGAGTATCTTTACAGATATTACAGTTCTGATTAAAAAATTCAAAAAATAGAGAATAATATAAGCAGGCTGTATAAGCTGTGTAAGATATGAGAATGAGTCTGATGAAACATTATTACTTTTTTCTTTTCTTTAATAGTTAGTATTAAATTGAAATGACAGTTTTTTACATGTTCAAAAACCTCTATTTTAATATCTGATAATAATATTATATAGACAATGAAGAAAAAACAGCAGTAGTAGAAGAATTAGTTAAGAAACTATAGAATCTTCAGATATATCTCATTTAATGTATATCTCTCATCATTCTCATCTAGTAAGACAGTCAACTGATTGATATCTGTAGTTTAAGAGAGTGTAATATATAGCTGATTATATAAGAATATGAGATTTCTGAGATTAATATCAACTGTAGAAAGAGACTGTCTCTGAAACTTGTTAATTATCATTGCAAAGCATGAACAGACTGGAAACTGACAGTAAGTCATACTAAATAAAATTTTAACAGATTGAGCTTGTAGATCAATCTGTGACAGTATATGAACTGAACTCTTATATATATCAGATATAATCTTCATCTTAAGTAAATAGATTGTTATCTGCTGAATAATCATTCTTGTGTCATTGCAGAGCTTTTTGAACAGTCAGAGATTACACAGAAGTATAACAGAAGTACTCACTTTCAATCTTAATATAGACAGTGACAGAACTGAACAGTTAATGACAGTCAGATATTCATAGAAGAACTTCTCACAGCTTAGAGTCAGATTATCTATATAAGTCATGTCTGCAGTATAAAATGTATGAATATCATCTGATATAACTGTTATAATTCATTCATTAATGTGAAATGCATTCTGATTTAATACAGTGAGAATGATATGACTTTCAAAGTAATTAGAGCAGACTACTGCAGTTCTAAGTTCAGCTGTAGAAAACACTCTCTTATACAGTATACTAATGTCAGCAGTCTGATGAATATAGAATGAAAGATTAACATAATCAATACAGTTCAGATTATATAACATTTAATCAAGTTAATTCATAAACATCATATTATCATCATCTGCAGTCAGTCTTATATTCCTTCTCAAGTGCAGTACAGTTAACTGCTGCTATATATATGAATGCTGCAGACAAGCTGCAACAACTGCAGCACAGCTGTTATACAGTATAATAGACAGAGTCTGTGTAAAATCACTATTAAATATAACAGATATATCATCAAAAAGCTCATCTGATAAATGTAAATCTTGAAGAAAACAGTTAACAATCTTCATACAATAGCAGTGCTGTATAAGAGTCTTATCTCAAATAATCAAGTTTACAGCCTGCAGCAGACAGCTCAGTTCACTGTGAATGATTATCTTTGACACAGAATCTGCATTCAATTCAATTGAGATGATAAAACATGAGTGAGCAGTTCTGTCATGTGATAAAAGAACAGCTGCAATGTCAGAGAAAGTTATACAAAGAACTGTTTTTTCATCTGCATGTAGACAGCTATAGAGAGCTCTGTAAAGAAATGTTTTATCAGTGTTATCAGAATCTTGTAAAAAATAGTGAGATGACTGTAATTCTATTACAGTCAGAATTGAATCATATGCATGATATTGATTATCATTCAACTGCATCTGCAGAGCATCTGCAGTGATGATTTCCTCTATAAGATTATAGTTCTGCTTCTCAAAAAGTAGCCAGTTTTTAATAAGATTATTTCATACAGGGCTGCATGCAGACAGGTCAAAGTCTGTAAGAATCTTATCAAACTCATGCAGAAGCTGCTAAATAAGAAATAGACTATAGTTATAATATGAATCTTCTGCAGAAGCATTGATAATACAGTCTGAATTCATCTAGTACAGTCAATGTAGAAGATTATCATAGAGAGCATGACAGAAACATGCTCAGAGAGCAGATGAATCTGCAACATTTTCATAAATTAATACAGTGATGAATACTGACTGCATGTAGTAAGCAGTTGTAAATATAACAGCAGATTCAAATGTAATAATTCACTCATTATTATTATACAGAAGATCAAGTGCCTGATATACTGTATGAAATATAGAGTGACAAACATTATTCATCATTCACAGAGTCTCAAAGCTCAGTGAATCATGTATATTAATAAGAAGCAGCTGTAAAAAGAATATCTCATCATTATATGAACTGAGATGAGATAGACAGTCAACTGATCTTCTCTTCACACAGCTCTTTCACCTCTGGTTATATTTGTTTCAAATAAAATGACAGAGAAATTCTTGATAGAGATACTGAACATCTGAATATGAATTATTATAGATAAAGAATGTTATAAACTTAGATATATTATTTATCAAATATTCAGTAATACATTCATGATCTTCATATTCAGATTCAGAGAAGTAAATCATCTGACAGTCTGATAAATGAATAGATAATATCTCAACAGATGAAAACTTCTGATGCATACAGAATGTGAATATATATCATACAGTCTCAGTTGAGCTGATATAATATCTGTGCAGTTGAATATCAATCTCATCATTGAAGTCAATGATATAGAGAACAGTGCAGTCTGAGCCCTTGTAGATGTATTTATTAATGTATTTAATAACTTCAACAGAGGCACAGACCTCTACATTTATATATACTTTATATGTGCAGATGAGATAGAGATTGTATGAAATAACTTATTGATTATCAATTACAATCTCACTGTTATTAACAGTATATTTAAAGAAGATAGATGAATCATGCTTCTATCTGTACAGAGAATAGTCATTCTCTTCAACAGCTGTAGCACTCTGAAAAGCTTTGAGAAAATGTTTTGTACATCTGTCATTCTTATAGCAGAGACTCATCTCATCAGCATTACATAAATCATGAATTATGAATTTACAGATCAATTCACTCAATTCATCTATATTCTCAGCAGAGCTTGACAGCTCTGCAGATATAATATCATCAATTGTATTAGACTGTAAAAACTACTCAGAGTTCTCTAGTCAGATTAATAGATACATATAAGACAGTTCATGTTTTTGATATTCAATTGTTTATACTCTGATTAACATCAGTCTGAACAGCTGCTCAGATTTAAGAATATCAAGAAAATGAAAAATCTTCATTGTAAAAATATATACAATCAAATCTGAGCAGTTCACTGCAGTCTAGTCAGAGAGCAACTCACAGATAATCTTCTCTCACTCAGAATTAGCTGTGAATATAATGAAAAGAATTGAATGTCTGTAATTGAAGACAATTGTCATAGAATTCTGAAACAGTTTATACATAAAACATTCACTGTCTATATAAGAAGCAGATAATATTATATAATAGTCAAGCTGCTCATGATCTGTATCATCTATCTGTATAATATTATATAGATCACTATATTGATCTGCACAGATTTTCAGTTAATAAGTACAGACTCAGTTCAGCTGCTGTTCATTAACATTCATATAGACATCAACTAAATATTGTTGAAATAGATATCTAGTCTGAAAAAAAGAAGTATCAACATTATCTCATTGAAAAAGATTATATACATATTATATACACAGAGTCAGACTACAGCTGTCACACTCATCTTTATTCTCAACAGTATTATCAACATCATTATCAGAGCTGTTATAGACAGATGAGAGATTCACATGCATATTCATATTAATATATCAGTCATGATCTTCAAAA